ATTTCGTTTGGATTCTGTCTGGTTTGGACCCCGTGTGATAAGGTCCATATTCTCTCGGCCTCAGAGGTAGGCAAAAGCAAAGCTCCTCTGAAGAAATCTTGTCTTGCAAACCCCATGATGGGTTTAACTTAGGGCAAAATCAGAAATGACTTGAAGCCATACAACAAAGACAATTTAGCATTTTCAAGAAAAGCTCAGTCCCCAGCACTGCAGTAATGTAAAACCACCATTGAGTATGCAGAAATACAGTCTAAGGGCCTTTGCAGACTGCCAGAAATAGTGCAAATTGAGTCCACTTTAACTGCCCTGACTCAGTGCTAGGGAATCATGGGAACTGTAGTTTATTGTGGCACCAGAACTCTCTGACAGAGAAGGCTCAATGTCTCAGAAAAAAACTACAATTCCCATGATTCCCTAGCACTGAACCAGGGCAGTTAAAGTGGACCAAATTTGCACTATTTTTAGCAGTCTGCAAAGGTCCTAAGTATCCAAAGAAAAGGGGCAAAACTACCAAGGGAATTCAGATACAGCAAATATAAAAGTTCTAGGCGTAAATATCGCCTCAATTTCTCAATGTCTCGTCCTCTGCAGTACAAAAAATTTGAGGATGAAAGGAAAATTTTATTGAGGGATACAATTTTTATTTGGGAGGGCAATGCCCTCATTTTACTCAGTGGAGCAACACCCCCGATACTACTACAGCCGTAAAGCATGACAGTGCCCTGGTTCCATAAGTGTCTGGTTTAAATCTATTACTGTAATTTTTTTAAAATTCCACTGTGCCACTGATTCCTTGTAAGCATTCCTTACTTGGAGATGTTATATCTATGTTTCTTGTTGTGGTTAATTGCTGTCAAGTTGACTTTGCCTTATGGTGGCCCTGTGAATAAGAGACTTCCAAGCCTCTCTGTTATCAACCATCTTGCTCAAATCCTGCAAATTCAGAGCCATGGTTTCCTTGGTTGAGTTTATCCATCTGTAATATGGTCTCCCTCTTTTTCTACTGTCATCTACCTTGTTGTTCTTTTCTGTGCCTTCAAGTTGTTTCCAACCTACGGCAATCCTAAAGCAAACTTATCACAGGATTTTCTGGGGCTGAGAGTGTGTGACTATAGTCCAAGGTCATCCATGGCTCAGCATGTCCACATGTGTAGACAATGACATTACTAGGGTTGGCATCACTCGGTGCAGTAATTCATGGTGTCATTCACCCATTGGCCTCATATACCACACCATATAGACTTATTTTTTGTACTAATGTTACTCATAATTCGTAATTCTGGTATATCACTGGATGTAATGGCAATATTTGTGACTTAAACAAACAAACAAACATATTAAAATTATATCTTTAAATTACACTGTCATACACACAGTCTAAATGTACATAGTCTCATGTTAGGAGCCAGTGTGGTGTCGTGGTTCAATAGTGGAGTAGGACTCTGGAGACCAGGATTCGAATCCCAACTCAGCCTTGGAAACCAAACTGGGTGACCTTGGGCAAGCTGCACTCTCTCAGCCTCAGAGGATGGCAATGGCAGATTTCCCCCCCCCCCCCCCCCAAAGAAACTTGCCAAGAAAATCCCATGACAGGTTCTCCTTAGGGTCGCCATAAGTTGGAAATGACTTGAAGGCACACACCAACAAACAACAAAATTTCATGTGGATAAAGTGAACATTTGGTATGATGTGATCTTTTCAAATAATTTTTTTAAATATTTTTTTAAAAATTAAGAATTTAAATTTTTAATTTTTAAAAACCCTGAGGCTTCTCCTTTCTCCTTCCACTGAGCCTCACATCATTCCTAACATCTCTTCCTCTAAGCTCCAGTGTTTTAAAGGGATGTAGGCGAATGCCACAGCCGCCCAAAGGCAGATGGTTGAGGAACAGTGGTGTAAACCTGGTGCAACCCACACCCACTAGTGAAGATCCTTTGTGTAGATATACACTACAGAGCCACAGCCTCAGTGTACGATCTTTGTCATTTGGTAGCATTCAAAGACATAGCTGTGTTACTCTGGCAAATCAGTAGCCATTTGGTTACTTTTGAAATATGAATTTATTACATTCTCAATACCAAAAAAATGAGTAATGCATTGGCTGCAATCATCTTGGTGACTTACAGTGTTGTAACCAGGAATGTTATGGAAATCCTAGTTTTAATGACATTGTATAAGGAGGTATCCATACCTCTTTATGTAATGGTTCACTCAAGGGCTGTGCGATGGCTGCTGGATGATGCTTGGTCACTGCTGCATCCTTCCAGTTCCTTCATGCCTGCTCCCAGATGACTGCTTTTTCTTTACCTCTTCACTGGCCTCCTTTCTTTTCAGCTTCCCAGACCTTGGCATTAGCATGCTGGTGGAAGCTTTCACTCTGCAAGCTTCAAATACGCTTTTGCCATTATGCATAGCTAACTTGCTTGTAATTCTTCCCTTCTGAGCTATGTTTAAAAGCTTAGCTGTGGATTTATAAATCAAGTGGTATAAAAGGGGATTTAGTAGCTCGTGCAAGAATCCCATGTGCAAAACAGCATGGTGGTTGTAGGTTGAAATGGGTACCTTGTAGAAATATTGTGATATATGTTCCTTTCCTGAGCAGCTGTAAAGCCTGTAAAGAGTTTCCAGTGTGGGGATCTTGAACATTGTAAGATATGAATGCATTAACAGGATATAAATTGCAGTTAAAAGAAATAAGTAGATTTTTACTATAGTGACAGCTGGTGACTTTGTCAATGGGATGGTGAATCCACTGCAGGTTTTATTGCAAATTTTAAAGAAGTTCTTCTGAACCTATGTAAGGAACAGGGGTCCACACCTTGAATCACTCCTTTAAAGTGTGAACTAAAAGATAGAATGAATTTACCTCCCCAGTAACATGGAAGCCACCGGCTGCAGTAGTATTGTAAGAAACTGGGAGCATCAACACTGACAGGAAAACCTGGATTACCTCCAGAATACCTGGATCCACAACAATCACGTGCTTATCTTCACAATAGCCACACAACCCAATCCGATAAATTGCTGTACGCATGGCCACCCAGCTATGGCCACTCCGGCATGTTTTTTCCTTTGGCCACCCCATACATGCAAACCTATCCCTATTCTTCCATGCTATTTCTACCTCTGGTACTGAATATTCTGTTAAAGAGGTAAAGCCTAGGGACATAACTACAGGTGTGCCTGTATTGTGGCACAAGTTTTCAAACAGATCTTCCCTATCTACCAAATACAAGTAAAAATGTTAAATAACTGACCATTTGCTGCCATTTCTTGACACTTAAAATCTTTTGCCTAAGGCAGCCAACTCATTCAGCCTAATACAGGTGTGGGCAGGGTCTGAGAAAGTGCTAGAAATCAGGACCCTCTGCTCACTGCCCCAGTCCCAGAAAATGAGAACAGACGTCATTTGAAATCCACTTCTTATTTTTAAAAAAAGCTTTTGAGAAAGCTGAGGAAAATTAAACCTAAGGTCTGTATCATTTTAAAAAGGAGAATTGCACCATCTGGAGGCTTTGCAGGATTGGCTGTTCTCAATTAAAGATTGGAAAAAAAATGTGAGAGGGTCAAGGGAGTGTTTTAGGGACCACAAAAATTACCTTTGGGGCCACATGTTCCCCATGATCCACATGATTTCTATCTGACCAAAATGGCTGCTGATGAAACGGATGATGGCTTTAACTCCAGAGTGATAATTGATTAGATTTGAGACAA